TTATTTATTTCATTATTGGGATATTATTTCCACCTGAAAGGAAATGCAGGGAAAATGATTCAAAAACTTATTGTAGCAAAATCTTTAAGCTATCTGGCTGAAACTAGACAAGATTAAAGTATTCTAAAAGATCTACCATTTTGTCTTATTTTGCCAAAAACTAAAGCAGCTGTAGGCATTTTGATGCTTCTCCAATAAATACTGTAATTGAAACTTTATCAGATCACATCTTGCACCAATTGAAATAAAGCCTTGGTGCTTTTGAAATTCAAATTCAAATCAGAATTTGCCAGCTTTGAACCTTGAATCAGTCTTCACTGATCTGCACACATCTATTAGATGAATCTCAAATTTACATCTGAAACTACATTAATTTATATTAGTTTCTCCAAACTAGAATGGTATACTTTGCCCATCATTTACATATATAATATTATGATTGGATGTTACAGGTGGACCAGCCAAATGAGAAATAAAGAAGACTCTATAACACATTTTTTTAAAATGTTTTTTTGATTTTTAAAATGGCAATGAACAAGAATGATTTTTTCCTTATTAAGAGATACAATAATAAAGAAACATAATCCATATGGCTTACACAAAGTAATATATTTACATGAAGTTTTCATATAGCACAATGCCCCATTCAATCCACATTTTAAGAGAATCCAGCCAGTGTCTTAACTTGTTGCAATGAACCAAACCATAATGTCCTGCAATAACAGTTTATCTGATGAGGATACAATACATCTATGTTATTAACCAGGATTTAGTGACTGAGTATTTTTTCTTACAGATGTCTCAGAAGAACTAGGTGTACTAGCAAATCCTTCACATCTTATAATCACACCAAAAACATATCTTTATTTAAATATCTTCTTTTAAATAGCTTCTATTTAAAAGCACCAGAACTCTGTCTGAGATAATCAAATATTCTACTTTCCTTCAGTTTAAAATCTAGTCAAATTTCCTGACTCAAATCTCCTCTAAATCTCTCCACAGTCTTCAGAAAACAGTATCGGCTCAGTGAAAAGATGTGGAACCAGTTTTACAGTTGGGTATGAGGCTTTGAGAACTGAGAAAACACTGAGAGCTTTCAGTTGGAGTTTGTTGGAATGGAGATGCAGCTTTGATTCCTGCAACACTGACTCCATAGGAACTTGATACAGGGTTGTTTTACGGCTGTTCTTTAGGAGTTTGTATATTTTTCTGAGACTCTGTTTGCCTAAATATAGGCATAGAACAATTATAAAACAAATACTACAAAGATAAGGCCACGCTCTAAGCATTCTTCAAATTCTACCCATCCCTTAAAATCTTCAGGAAAAGATCTCATCCTATCCCACCATGAAATGCTAAAAATGTGATGTTCAGCATTAACTATTGTTTACCTCTAATTGACTATTTTAAGAAAACATGGTCCAATTTCAAAGCCATTTTCTTCAGTGACATGACAATGTGTATGTTCAGCCTCATCCTTATGCAATGGGTTGGGATTAGTTTACATTGAGGAAGTTGATTTATTCATAGAAATTACAAGGAATAAAAGTCCTCAGATCTGATTTGTTCAGCTTTCCCTTATGCCGGGGAGAAAAGAGATTGTTGGACCAAATTTGAGTGATTAAAGGATTCCTAGCCAATATTAAAGTTTTCAGGATTATAGAACATCAACATTTTTAAAATGAGGAATACATGACATTCTTTAAAAAGCAGATCCAATAAAGATTGTAATAAGACATTTGTTAATAGGATTTTTAAATTTTTCCCAGCACTTAAAACATCAATTATAAACTTAAGCAGGATGTATATATTGTTATATGATGGCATATTTTACTAATGTCTGGAGGGAATTGTTAGGGAAAGAGCTAGAATAGTATTCACCCCATATGATTCTTTTTGGAATATAAACTGAAATTTCATTTTCACCAAAGTATTGTACACTGGCAAAGATAGATGTGCCTTTAATGTTTTTTTTAAATTTAAACATATTCTCTTTCATCTAAAATCCTTCTAATACTTTTGTTTTCCAGTTGCTTCAATGTGATACCTGAAGAGGGATCTGCTTGCATTTCCTCTCCATTTATGGTTTCACTGTTCTGAAACCACTGTTGACCAATGAAAATAAATGGACTGAAAACAGCTTTGCGTTATTAGGGATACACTGGCTGTTCTCGCAAAAAAGTTTAGAAACACTGTCCATACACACCTTTGAGTTTTCTTTACAGTCTTTTATTATTTTCCCCAAACTAACGAAGTACTAGCTAACAAAGTACTGTTCAAGAAGCAGAGAAAGCAGGGATATTTTTTCCTATGCTTTTATGTGACATCCCAGGCCTTCCTTTTTCACTTGTTAAAGAGGAAAGAACAGGGGTGGGCTGCTGGGGGTTTGCAGGGGTTCAGGAGTGCCCCAAGCTAAGATTATGTGCAGTTCAGAGAACCCCCAAATCCCACTCCTGGCTGGCCCTGCCCCATCCCGCCCACCCCTCCCAGGAGTCCCCATGTTTTGGATGCAGGTAAGTGTAGGGTGCGCCCGGAAGCTCAGGGAGGGCAAAAAACGGGCTTCTTGGAAGTTCGGGAAGGCTGGAAATGGGCCTGTTTCCAGCTCCCAGAGAGCCTCCGGAGCCCGGGGAGGCCATTTTCACCCTCCTGGAGGCTCAAGAAAAGCCTCCAGAGCCCAGGGAGGGAAAAAATGCTGCCCCCAGCCGTGGTGCCCAACATGGCCATGCTCACCCAGCAACCAGGCAGAGAAAATTTTGCTAACATTTTTGAATCCCACCTCAGGGAAAGAATATATCTGGACCTACTCAGATTAAAAGCAACCTAAATTCACTGAATTTGCTATTATTCAGATTTACCACACAGGTTCTTTTATAAGAGTCAATCTAGAAGACCCCAATCTGAACTGAATTTCCCTCCTGCTGTATTCTCACATAATTAGAATGCTTTTTCTTGGATAAATTAGTTTCAAAAGACTATAAGTATATTTATAGATTAAACAACCTGATCAAGTTATATAGTAATGTCAAGTAAATTTTAGCAATATCTACATTTACATTTTATTTAAAGTGTAATTGGAGTTAATTGTGTGTTTTTGCCTAGCCTAGTGGAACAGTCTCAGTTGTATTGCTCGCTATACACACTTACCTGATTCTTAAGGAAAGAATAGCAAAGTTTGGAGAAGGAGCCAGTATATTTCACAAATACATCTGTTCAAACTGGACTTTGGTGGGTTGACATTGAGCAAATGATGGCAAGATCTCAGAAATACGGAACAAAAGGGACTGTCCTACGTTGCAGGGTTGAATATTTAAAAACCATTCCCCCTAGCATAAAATTATTCAGGGCCTTCCAGTTTTAAAATTAATCTGAGGGGAAAAAAATGGATGCTCATTTATCTCTACATATCCAGTGTTTGATTTAGATCAGAGACAGCAGTTCTGCACTGAAATTGTGGGGAAAGGAGGACCCTTCTGGCTATAAAAATATAAAGACTCCAGGTTAATTTATTTATTTTTGAATAAGGGCTTCTAGCAAATGGGAAATGGAAAATAGAAGGCTATTTATAGCATATAAAGATTTATAAGAAAATGGATATATCTGTTTGGGATTGATTTTCTCTACAATCCATTTATTTTTCTATGTTCAGAAATCCTGAACAACAGCTTGTAAACAGCTTTTGTCAAATGCCTTGTAATACTGCCGCACTCCATTTAACAAAAAATAAACAAATAAATAACATAAATAAAAAACAGTTCTTCATAAATATGCACATTCTTCAAGACCAAAATCTAAGTACTAAGCTCAAGTGAGGGGGGTGGGGGTGGGGGGAAAACGCTGCAGGAAATTTCGTAGGACAGAACAATTACTTGCACTTAATCCTAACCTCTTCAATGAGTGACATTCATGCCATATTATTGTTAGCGTTGCATGTTAAGCAAGCAAATTTTCAATCAACTTGTGTTGGCTTTACCACAGACACAGATGTTAGGCGGACTCCTTTGTTCATAAGGTTCTCATTATTAACTCAAACCAAGCTGAATATTTGACTGAAGGAAAGACCATATCATTGTTTTCAGATTTCACTCTATGACTTAACTGAACTACATCTGCCAGCTTTAGAAATACCGAGTACTTCTTGGCGCCAGTACTGGCGCCTCAATCTATGACTACCAGCCTAAATGCTTCAACTTGAGGAAGTTTAATAACCATGAAAACAACATAAGAAAAACTTAAATTGTAATTAAAAATTGCTCACAGACTGACAGGGTGCACCAACATTTGCACTGTGTTGAATATATTCCACCAAAAAAAGAAAAGGAAATAGAATTCATAATTAAAATAGGTAGGTTAGAAAAGTCAGAAAGATGTTTTTATGATTTATGAAGTCAGCAACATACTTGAAACCATATTTATTTAATAGGTAAGCTAGCACTATGCTGTTCGTTTCCATCTGCTTTAAATCTATTATAAGAGGAGGCAAGAAGATTACTCCAAATATAAACATAGCTCCACTTTTCACCTTTTTGCAAAGCTAACTTTAAGTGCAGAGGGAAGAATTATAGACACCTCCAAAGATGCATGTGGATGTCAAACTTCCAAAATAAAACAAATGAAACTTCAGTTTTGATTGACAAAATAATTATAATTAAAAGTTATGAAATTTTAAATTCCAGTGCTAGTTTTTGAAAGTTGCAATCAGCAATGCTCTGTTTTACATAGGAATCCTTCCTGCACAAACTAAAAGAAATAATATCCTATAGTCCAATCCCTATTCATTTCAGGGAGAAACATATCAGAGAGTAAATGTCAGTAAATTATTCATAAAGAGATAGATTCAGAGATAAACTTAAGATCTAGACTATTCGATTGAAATATATAGATTTATTAATTGAATATAAGATGATATTTTATTATCCAAAGTTATTCTTTTGTTAAAAGACCAGAAATTATTTTCAATAGGAAAACTAGAAGCCACTTAATTAAAAATATATCTTGCTTACCATGCTGTATATCTTTCATGTCTAAATGAAGACTGGACATTAATATACCGACTGCTTGTGATCTTTTGTTGCTTAATAACTTGACAACCTGTCAGGAAAGGAAAAAGGTATCATTTCCCACATAATAGCTAGCAAACATGCATTCCCAGCATTCACATAATAAATTTGTAACACACATTATTTTTATTTTTATTTTTATTATTTTTATTATTTTTAGTTGTTGTTGTTGTTGTTGTTATTATTATTATTATTATTATTATTATTATTATTATTATTATTATT